GGGAGAGTATTACTTACGGAGCCACACGATGATCAACAGGGAGATGGGTGCAAAAATAGATTAGGGCCTCTACAAGTTATTTAATTTTACGACACGCCTGTGGGAATGCAAAACGAAAGGGAACGGAGAATTTTCAACGAAAACTGAACGTGTTCTCTCGTGAATCCTGATACAGATGATACAGCGTTTTCCATCAGACGGCTGTTCCCGTGACTCCACTTTCCTTTGATGTAGTCTTAATATCCAAAAAGGAATCTCGCTCAACAGGGGCTCCACTTCGCGAAACACGTGCCTGATACGGTGGAAGGCAGTGTTAACCTATCTGAGAGTGGATTCTCCTGCTTCTCCGCTAGTAGTGAATGCCGAATCATCTGCCCATTATGATTAAGAGCACAGGGAGGCGGGCTGCTCAGGCCAGCTACACTTCAACCTCTTCCTCGTTGTAGCCTGAAGACGCTTACCCTGGGTGTTCCGTAGGCCAGGATATTTAATTAATATTACAGTTATAATAAGCAGAAGCAATGGCTCTCACAAGCCCGAGGCTCTTATTCCCAATAGGCCAGCGGGCGCGAACGAGGAGAGGGTACCGGTCCAATATACACTGCACATAGGGCGGAAAAAAGCTGTTCCCTTCAGATAACACGCACCCGTAAGGGCATTTTTTAACATTAGTCCTCGGCTTCTTCGTTTTCGATGAAAACAAATAAAAAAAAATCTTTCCGATATCTCACGATTATGACAGAGTAGCTCTTCCTCCCCCGCCGAATATAGTCCGGACCCTCCTTCGTCGAGCCTTCTCGCTTTATGGTTTGGGGGAAGCATGCCCCACCTATTCTAAACTTGTGACCCTGAGGGCATTTTCTGTTCTCCCTCAGCCTATTCCAAATAGGCGGTAGGTATCGACATAAGGCTAAAATCCATCGATTTAATAGAAAAGGCTCCCTAAGCTACGCATGCCGATTCCATAATAAAACCACCCAAAATCTGGCGGAAATCCACAAGCTGCTAAGTAGAAATGACAAAAGAAAGAGCACAAAAACATGTAGTGACACACTGGAAAAAAAAAGAGAGATAAAACCTAAGAAGAAAAACACTCATTGTGCGTGTAGGGTATTACTTCCTCCCGCGCCCCCGCACCGTCCTCGCACACGGACCCAGCAGGTAAAGGGGAAAAATATTGAGCGTCAAAAAGCTGGAAGCAAATCACAAAGAATCGAGGGTGAAGGAGAGAACGAGGCATCCCTTATTCATATATATAGCCCCGATAATGCCAGAGAAGGGAATAACTTCAACCAAAGAAAGTCAGAAAAAGCATAGGAACGGGCTCCGCGTTAATTTTCGTTGCAGAAACGATACCTCAATCCCAAAGGCTATCGGGGAAACCAATATAAACAAAAAGTTTCTTTCGACTTGATCATAGATAAAGAACTCCCAATGAATAGATAGACAAAAGAAGATGAACGAGATATCTTTTTTCTCTCCTCTAAAAAAAAGAGGTTGAAGGGATGCCTCGACCATACGGGGAGAGTATTTGTGTTAGCGTTTAGCTCGTTCAGAGGAATAGAATAGACATCTAAGGGATGTCTATTGTATCCTTTAATCATCTTCCCTCGATTCGTTTCTTTATATCCGATTATAATCTGCCTCTCTCCTAAAAACAAATTGACGATGTAGTAACAGCAGCTACATGATATCCACTTCTCACCCTCATATCGAACATCAATTGCCTATCTATTGATAGGAAAGTCTTCGTCAAAATACCCGACAATGCCCTTTTTTTTAGGGAATTCCTCATATCCAAGGCAGCTTACCACCAAGCACCTCACCCCATACGACTAGTTGGGGGGGCTGTTCTTTAATCAAACAAGTAAGTATAGGGGCTTCATTAGCTATTATTCTAAAGGGAAACCTCCGTAAGAACCCCAATACGCTCACAAATCGTCTTTAAAATATAGTGTAGGCCCTGTACCTCCCGTCGATTTGCGATGTCGCTATACACTGTAACACCCCGACACTAAAACCTCACAACTAATCTTTCTTAGTCAACCGGGCGGAGCGCACCTTTTACTTCCAGTAGGGCGAGCTTCTTTATAGGGAACTTCTTTCGGGGCGACGAATACTTCAATGACGGAAAGACCGGGAAAACTCGGAAAGGGTTCGCCTTTGGGAAGCGGTTCGCCGGGTAACCAAAAGGCGGTCACGACATAAGCGTCTAAACAAAAAGGAAAGGAGTTTAGCTGACTGATACCAAATCACTCCTATAAACGGGTGCACAAAATAACTAAAAAGTATCGGTCCCTTCGTCTCAAGTAGGTAAAGTAAGGCATTAAATGAAGAGTCCAGATACGAATAATATCTGCTTTTGCATTTGCCTTAGATTTTCTATGGAACAAAGCAAAGAAAGAGGCGGGAAATGGAGAAAAGGAAGGCAAGGGCGGTCTGCAGCGCGAAGGGTGCGGTGGGGGGCCAGGTTACCGGTACTAAGGCCGGACTCCAAGGGCGGTCTTCAAAAAAAAAAAAAAAAAGATAAAAAAAAGGAAGTCTAAAAGGAAAAGCTAACTCTCAATGTAGAAAGGAAAAAGATAATGCAATGAACAAATAATTAAATTAAAGAGTGGTCCAATTCCTTTCTCTCTCACATGGCATTTGTCACAATCTTTAATTGTGTTGGATGTGAAGAAACCAATAATACAAGGTAACAAATTGTCTATAAGTTCTTAGAAGAGTCCAGATAGATTTTGACTGATTAAAATGGGTAATAGTGAAACTGATAATGACATAAAGGTCTTTTTTTTTTATATTATCATTATTGTTAATTATTGGGCTCAAAGAAAAATTAATTGATTAATTAATAAATTATGAGGATAACCACAAGTTTAAATCATTTAAAATTTTTTTGATTTAGTCTAGAAGATTCTTAGATAATTAGGTATTTGAGACATAGACATAACCAAAATTAAATTTTAAATTGAAATTGAATCAAACTAATCGAAGATAAAATCAAACCGTAATTAATTATAATTAAAAGACATGTTCGGTAAAATTAATTATTTGAGTAGCTTTTTATGCAAAGCTAAACATTAAACGTTACTTGTTTTAACCTTTATAAAATACTAGATTAACTTTTAACTAGTTTAAATGCTATGTTATTGAACACTATAAAAATAATGTTTAACGTCTAGCTAAGAAAAGCCATTTTAAAAGCTGTTGTCGAAACCTACCCATATGTTTATTAAATGGTTTTAATTTCTCATATATTTAATTAAATGGTGTATTATTTATTAAATAAACTCATTTAGTTCTTCTAATATCATTACTTGATTATTATTTTATTATTTTTTATTATACAATAAAATAAAATAAAATAAAAAAATCTAATTTCAACATTAAACTGAAACCGAATTAAAATCGGTAATTCAGGAACAAATAGTGATATCTATTAAAATACTTAATCGGTATTTTATACAATAAAATAAAAATACCGTTCACTGTACCTCCTGTGAGAACTATTATTATTTTTTCTTTAAAAAACACTCATTAGTTAGTACCTAAAAGGTGAGTTTTAAAATTAATGTCGTTCGTTTGGATATTAGAAAGGAAATAAAAAAGAATTACTTTTACTATTTCTCAAAAAAAAAAAAAAGAATTATTTTTACTGTACAATTGATTTGATATTTTTGAGTACACAAAATAAAAGAAACAAAGTTAACAAGTAAAATTGAAAATAATAATAATAATAATAACAACAACGTTGATGATTAATAACTTATAATGGAGTAATTAGATTTTGTTAGTTGTTGTGTTAATATATTAAACGGGTAATTTATTTATTTATTTTTTATATCATGAATATTAGAATTTATAACTGAATTTTATATCTCAAATTAATTCATACATAACAAGAAATCAAACATACTGATGCTTCCATATGTTATTCTTCTTTTTCTTATTTGGATACATTACACATGCAATACATTTTTTTTATTAGAAATGAGCTAATTATTGATAAGTTTTAATGAGAATTTGAAAGCATGGAGTCATAATATTGATTGCTTCAATAATTTCTGTGTGTTTGGTTTATCTGTGAGTATTGCTTTGTGTTGTGATGTTTGAGTATGAAAAGTACAGAGATGTAATTGACAGGTTCATGCATTTAGACATTAGAGTCTCAATTCTAAACCCGTGGGACAAGCCTCTTCGTATTATGTAAGTTAGGGATTTGTTGATTATGCCTTTCTTAGGATATTTTCCTTCTAATTTCCCTTTTTTTTTTTTTTTCAAAAATGATTAAAGTATTGTTGTTAAATCGAATCTGAGCCGATCCAATACTGTTCAATATTAAGTTAATTGAATCTTTTGCAAAATCTTATAGCTAAATATGGGACGCACAAAAAAAAAAGGTATTGGTGTTCTTACAGACAGACATGACATCCTTTAAATCTGTTCACCTATTAATTTTATGTAGAACCTAATTTTCTATACGAAGTATAGACAAGAGTTTTCCTCAAATGTTAGGGCAAAAACACTAATGACAAGCAAAAGTAGGATTGTAAGATTCTAAGCACATAGACAATTTCTTTCATGTTTAAGAACAAGCCAAATACACAAAAAAACAGGCTCCTACCCATTAAATAATACAAGAACTGATCAATTTTGCTCAGCAACTATTATGGACCCTGTTCGACAATTTTAACGGTTCTAGAAGTGCTAGTTGTAGTAGCTGTCAGCTATTTTACTAGCTTTTAGTGATTAAATATTAAGTTATATTAGGCTGTTAGTGGTTAATTGTTTATATAGCTATTCAAAATAGAAGTATTCGATAAAAATAAGTGTTTGATTAGCTATTTAATATAAAAAGACAAAAAAAATATAAATAGAAAACAAGGCAAAGACGAAGCGATGCGCATATGTGTCATAAAAAATTTATAAAATGATAAACGTTAATAAAAATTTATAAAATGATAAACGTTAATGAGGATAACGTTTCATGAAACACTACCTCAAACTCTAAACTCTAAATCTTAGGATAAGTGTGACATTATCAAACACAATAATTAATTAAAATAATGTTTTAACTCACTCAAAACACTAAACACTACTCCAAACACTCTTGTCAAACAGAGCCTATATTAACCATTAGCTAAAATTACATTATAGCTAAAATTACATTCTCATCCTCATCAAGTTGGACTACATATAGAACATTGCACTTGAAAGAGGTGCATATACAAACAAATGAAGTGATGCACAAATATTGACAGATCTACACCGAGCACCCTAGAGATATATTTCCACTCAAAGCCCAGGAAAAATGTATTACAAATTAACATTGCCTGTGTGGATGAGGATGAGAATTCTCCTTATATTGCAGTTACCCAAAGCTTCTGGTGGAAACAAATCAAGATGCAGATATTCCATCCCTTTTTAGCAATTCCTAGAAAAAGAAGACGTCAAAGAGTTTAGTTCCTAACCATCATTGCATATTACTGCAATTTTTTTTTCACATCTTCACTTTGAAATATAACGTACCAGTTTAGTTGCAGTAATTGACAGGCGCTGCCTGTCTTTTTTCTCATGCAAGCACTCTCCGCACCAGTTCGAAAAATCCTTCTGATATTTTTTCAGCTCGCGGAAGACTGAACTGAAATCGGGAAATTCTTGTAATCAATAATATTTATTTATAACTATGAAAATAGAAGTGAACTGAAATAGGGAAATTCTTGCAATCAATAATATTTATTGATAACGATGAAAATAGAAGTGACCAAACTCATCGAACACTTGTTGCCTATTAACAAGCAAGCATTAGAAAGAAAAGAATCCAAATTACTTGACGCCTTCTGCATTTTATGGAGCAGCCATGATAAGTAATATGTTCTTCCTTCATTTGCTACTTGTCTAGAAGACAAACAAATTGTCAACACCCAAAATCCCAATCAGTAGATTGTCAACTTCTATAGTATCTATTAATTATCAGAATCCTGGGAACTTAAAAATAAGTTAGTATTACAACTTCAGTCGGTCCAGAAACATCATTAGGAGAAAAAAAAAAAAAAAGAAGTCACCATAGTTAAACCCCCAATATAATCTGAGTGATTAACTAGATTAAATTTCCACACTAACATTAAAACCCAACATGTTGGCTCAAAGTAGATTCCTTCCGAGAAAAGGTAGGATGTCAAATCTCATTTACAGGGGAGCAGAGAGAAAGATACCTTCTGCACCACAAAATTAAGTTGCACCGATGCCCAGAAGTTGTAGCTCTAGCACCATGCCGATGGCGACCACGATGAAATACAGCCCGCCCGGGGACATGGACATAATCAAAAATTTCCTATAGACATCATCAATAAACACCAAGCAGACAAGTCTTTAGTTGCTTCAAATAACAGTTTCCTTATCACAAAAACTAACGCCAAAAATAGTTTACATTATAGTTCACCCTATCATTTCATTAAGTTTGCATTTAGAAACCTCAGCCTTTCCGATAGCAATCATAGTTATATCTTAGCCTTTTTGTTTGAATGGAAAAGCATCATTGACCATCTTGATGCACTTTTATAGTTTGAGAGGTTTTAAAAGAATTTCAGTATAATATGTAACACAATTCACTTAAGAACCAAGCAATTATAAAAAGTTTTAAGTTATTCAATATACGACTTCACCAGCATGAATAAACTATAATAAACTCATGGCATCAGTCAACCTGCAGCATTCTGAGAATTAATCTTCAAATTTAGCATACCTCAGGTTGGGTTTCAGTATTCACATGTTTATCACACCGTACACCACGAAAGAACAATTCTCCACCATAAAATTGCTTACCCAAGCAAACATTCAAGGTGACTTCTGAGTCATCCACATGGAAACCTATAAAGAAAAGTCTACTAAGATATTGCAAAAGCTTATGAAGAGAAAGATGTAAAAGCTGGGGTGGAAGGTGGACAAACAGACAAGGAAGAAATTACACTTTACACTGTCAATAAAAAGGGAAACATAAAAAAAAAAAAAAAAGCAGTTTGCAATTCTAAATCTACAAAATGAAATTTGTCATCAGCAAATAAATAACAGCACCATCCATTCGAAAAACCAAGAGCCATTTGATTCTTGATATAAAACCTAGACGTCTAATATAGTCATAGAAAGATCTGATTTCATGCAGTACTTTCAGAATAGAAAAGCTGAAATTATTAGTAAGTTAATTGAGAAACTTCAGCAACTTCTTTAAGTTTCCACTCATTGGGATATGATTAAAAATTGATCATACATAATACTATGTGAAGTTATAATTTGCAGATAAATGGCATTAGAAAGAAGATTCAAGGAAGCACCTACCAAGCTCAACATCTCTATCTACTCCATATTCAACAACAAAACCATGATGTGAATCTAGAGTTGATCCGCCAACCTCAGGGAAGAAAACTACAAGGAAAATCCACTGTAAGCAATGAGTTCTTTTACATAATATGAAAATCATTTTGTTCTTTTCTTATTTCTAACTGAATAGAGATATATTACTTCTAGACATTGGGCGTATATATTCATCCATCAACTTCTGAAGCATTGTTTGTAGGCCAAAGTCATCAAGAACAGCACCATACTTGTTCATTGTGTTTGGGCGCATTATTCTGAATTTTGTGTCATGAACCCATCTTTCAAAGTTTTCTACCTAAGCAATCAGAACTTGATAAGAAAGTTTGCAAACTAAAATACAAGCAAAATGGTACTATTGACATAATAAATGACAAGAAGAACAAGACGATACCTCAGACATCAACATTTCGCAGAAATGTGGCTGAAGCATTTCAAATACATATATTCCTGGTCTGGGTTCAGCCAATATATTTCTAAAACTCTGTTCTGTATTTTCGTTGACTGCTTTGAGAAATGAGGGCACAAAGAAGTTTTCAGCATGCATTGAATACAACTCCCTATGTAGAGGCTGCAAAAAGGAGGAAACAATCACAAAAGAAAACAGCATAAAGAAACAAAGGAATTTAAGGGCTGTACCCAAGCTGCTGGGCTCGGTTTGAAGTTGAGCTCAACTCATTTACAATTCATAGTTAAAAGTAAAAAACCATAGCTCTTTTACAAGCTCAAGCTCGGCTCATCTATTAAACAAGCTCAAAAAGTATACTCTGAGATCGGCTTTTTAAGCTTATCAAACGAGCTTTTTCCAAACCGAGTCTCAAGTAGCTCACAAGTGGCTTAGCTCATTTACAGCCCAATGCTATGACTTATAAGCATAATATGAATATCCAAATATTTTATATACCGCAATTCATGATTTAGTCTCATATTAACAGAATGTAATTCTCACTTTTCACCATTTTAGCTATAATAATATACATCCATTAAAGGAAATGACAGTCATTGGGAATATCAACAATATGAGTTCAATCAAGACTTTCAAAGTATAGAGGTAAAAATATGTATAAACAGTAAGCTGATAAGCAGAAAGAAGAGGTATATCTAAAAATTTGTCCTAGTGGGAGCAATAAATAGAAAAACAAAAACTTTAAATGATATTGATGCTTTAATATTTTATATTTTTTTTATAATTTTCTCATATGTTATCATCAGATAACGGCCACGCAACCTTCATTTCCCATATAAAATTGATCATTTAAGTCCATAATACAGAGAGTTCTTTTTGTTGATGTGATTGAGAGGGAGGAGTATGAGACTTGAAGAAGTATAATTAAAAGAATAAATGGGCCAAATCTTTTTTTATTATTATTATTATTATTATTATATTCTGTAGTAGCATCCCAATTACCGAAACACAGAACTGTATTTTAGCCCAAGTTAGCGGATTGTGTGTGCAATGTGTTAAAACTTGGACATTTTGGGGAGGGAAAAATTGAAAATGGACTAATAATACAAAGAATTCCTAAGAGTGCAGTGGGGCCACTTATGCCACACTCGAGTCTTCCTAACAGCAAAATACCTACGCAACCAATAGAAAACAAGTCTTTCTGAGCCATGTATGACAAACATCAGAAAACTAGTCTGATTTTCAAACTACAATCATGAGAAAAATCTAAAAGACTAATTCTGAGCGTGAGACATCCTATATCAAACATTCACCATTGTATTTACCTGATAGTTTGATATAATCTTCTGCCTGTATTCTTTATGTTTTAGTACCTGCCAGTTTAAAACGGTGAAAAACAATGAGCAACGCAATTGACCAATTAGAAAAGGGAGCAAGAAAAGCAACACATAGAATTGATAGATAACATAATTGTAACATAAAAAGTTGAGTAAAAACTTAAGGATAACTTATTGATCCCCAAAACAAATTAGGAATGCAGAGATGTCATTAGGAAACCGTTATTAGCATTTAATATTAGAAGATACACTAGAACTAGTTGAGAAGAAGCCAAAACTTTCATATCAATGAATAAAATATTGGGGCAATTTTGTGTTTCAAGTGAAAAATCATAAAAAAAATCAACATAATGTCAAATTCAAATAGTCAATCATTCCAAATGGCTATTTATCAAAATGGACCCAAAAGGAAATCACCAGGAATTACAACAAAATATGACTCAGGGTACAGACAACAAATGTCAAACAAAATGGGTCAAATGTAGCAAATATTCAAGCCACTTTAACAAAATTCACATTGATAGCACTATATAAGTTCTCTTATTATCAGAAAAGGGAACTGATAATAACAAGTTCTTCGAAACTTATTTCAGAAAAGAAAATAACAAGTTAAAGCCTGAGGTCTAAAAGAAGAGTATATGCATGCCTGAATTTGAATCCACATTTGAAAAAGAGTATCTTGAAGGGGTGAATTTCGCTGTTCCCATAAACAAAGAGCAGTAATAATCCAATATCCTCTAAACAACAGAAGATAGCCAAAACAGAGTTTGGGAGGGAGCCGGAATTTCATAAAATTCCTACTCAAACCCGTCTGAGGTGTATATATATGAAATTGAATCTCTCCCAATTACCAAATTCTCAGAAATTTGCATTTCTCTTCCATCCAATCGCTCTCAATTATGCAAATTATAGTACAGCATAAACACAAGGAAAGCATACATAACTATACGCAATACTATATTACATGCATACATATTATGCGTCCTAGATGATGTATGTGCATACGTATAGAAATACTTGTGCAAAGATATTAAAGCCAATGCATACACGAGCACGTTCACCCTCAGGTGAATAGCGAACGAGAATGTCCTTCAGGAACTGGATTTTAGCGTCGCGTGACAAATTGAGCATGGAAGGAGGCAAGTACCGCTCCAGCGAGCTGAAGAGGAGAGGACTGAAGTCTGATTGAAGATCTTCATAGCTGTCCGGCTTGTGATCGGTGCTAGGGTTCAACCTCAGCCTGTGCGTCGGTAATACGACTCCGTTTCCATTTCCATTGGATTTCTTATGCGCATCGACTGACATTGGCAGCATATATCTTATAGCTTGAGTTTGACAATTATCATAGAGATTTCTATGTGTCCGTTAGTTTTGTAATTGCAATTGGTGGAAGAATATGGAATTAGGGTTTGTAGAAAGAAGAAGAAGAAGATGGTGAGTTTGTTTGTGTTGCAGGTTAGGGTTTGTTGTTTGTGGGTTGATTGGAGTCGGACTGGTTCGGGCGGGACCCACAGGTACCTGCCAGTGAGCCAAAGCCAGGTGGAGTTAATGCGTGCGTTTGGTACATGCAACGCAAGTTTTTGTTGGTTATAGTTTATTGTTAATTAATGTTTTTAGGAATGATTGAATCATTTTAATTCTGGAAAAAGGAAGAATAATTAATTAAAATATTTTTTAATTAATACTTATTTAATTAGATTAAATTTTACAAATATTTTGATAGAGGTAAAGTCGAATAAAATACTCCTTACCTTCCAAAAAAATAGTTTATCTTTCCTTTTTGGTTTATCTCAAAATATAGTCTACTTTTCCTTTTTGCATTCTAGTTAATCATTAATGTTCTATTATACCCTTATTAAATTATATCTTATTTTCAATAATCCTCATTAAATTATTACTTATTATTCAAATATAATAATTTTTTAGCTCATGTGTTATTTTAGATGAGCATAATATGAAATATATATGAGCATAATATGAAATATATATGAATAAAAATTATCTTTTTACTATATTTATTAATCTGTGTGAAAATAGAAAGTAGACTATCTTTTTTAATAACGTTTTGGGCTATGACGTGATTCTAGCTTAGGAACAAATCCGTGGAATAAATTCATACAAGGCTATGAGGTGGCTCTAGCCGAGGAACAACTTGTGCAAGGCTACATGACATGGTTCTAACCTAGGAACAAATCTGTACAGGGCAGTATGACGAGGTTCCAACCCATAAACAAATTCGTGCAGGCTGGTCAGATGTTACAAATTTTGTATCAGAGCCAAGTCTTGACCCTCTAACTGGTGGTGGGGCAAATCTCAGCGAGGGCTGAACTCCGAAGAGGCTGGGTCCCCAAGGAGATGGGTGTGAGGACAAGCTTACATTGGCAGTTTTATCCCAGGAACAAATCTGTGGAGGCTGGGCCCAAAGCAGGCAATATCTTATTAGGCTTGAGATATTACACAGCCCACATGGATTTGTTCCTGAGCTTGAACCACCTTATAGCCCAAAACGTGTCTTTCTGGTCTAAGGACTGCCCTTCTTTATATACATTACTTCCACCTTGTGCTTAGCCCGTGTGGGATTCGCCTAGGGTGTCACAAAATTTATAAAATATGCAACAACTCAATAATAAAAGTAAATTTATAAAATATGTTTTGGACCAGCTTTTTAAAGGATTAGGATAGGATGTTGATTCTGTTAACCCTTTTTGTGTCCAACGGAGAGATGAATGAATTTGGTCAATAAAGAAGAGTGGGTGTTATTCCGTTCGAAGTGCTTATTGACTTTTAACTGTGAATTTTGCTTCGTCAACGCCTCCTAATGTGAAGCCATTTTGGTCAAAGCTATGGTCTTCAAACTCCCCCCAAATGTAAAGAACTTGTTTTGGAGAATTTATGTTGAGTGTCTCTCGGTTAAAACATTGCTTGTCCATCGTGGTGTGGACCTTCAAGTATCATGTCTTGTATGTGGTCAGGGACCTAAATCCCTTCTCCACTTGTTTATTGACTGTGAGTTGCGAGACAGTATTGGATACAAGTTTTGAATGGAGTGCCTAGTATATATGACCTACAATGGGTGTTTGAGATTAAAAATTGGTTTTTTCACGTTGTCATAGTGCATGATCAATCTAATTCTCAACAAACATATATGATGCTCTCTGTCATTTGGAATAACTAGAATGTTATAGTGTGGAATGATGTTATTAAGCCTATAGACTTGCAACTCAGGTACCCTATGGCTTGGTTAGCAGCTTGGCGGGTAGCTTAATAGCAGCAGGTGGCCCATCTCTATGTTGTCAATCATGGATCTGTTGTGTGGGTAATATGGATTTTTGAAATGCGACCAGATGCATCTCTTCACGCATCTTCTCTTATTATTATGCAGTTGGGTATTGCGAAATAACTTGGATAATGTTCAAAACCCTTGTCAAGTTGCTCTGACAGAAGCCATCTCCTTCTAAGAAGCTCTGAGTTGGTTAAGGGCAAACATATCTCTAAATTTATTTTTGAGATTGATTCACCTCCCTTTAAAGCTTTCAATCGCAGACAATTAATTCCTTTTACTCTCGAGGATTGTGTGTGATTGTAAAACCATCCTAAATGAACTTGTTAATTGTTCTATTTCTTTTGTTCGTAGCTCAACGAATAACACTGTAGATCTACTCGCAACACATACTTATTTCATGTCTAATCTTTGGGAGTACATACTTATTCATGTCTAATCTTTGGGAGTGGGATAATGTCCCTTCTAGAATTATTTCTCATGTTGTTTTGTTGATTTGGATTAATGCATAGTTGATATTTTTTACTTTCTAAAAAATTGCTAAAAAATTGATATTTGGATTAATGATATGAGGAAAATTTTCAGTATCCCATTAAGCCTTTATACCCATCATGACAAATTAATATGACATATTGATCGGAAAGGCTTTTGTATGGTCAAAACTGCTTATCATGTAGCTTACAGTTTGGTTTGAAATGGTGGTGGTGGTGAATATACGATATGAAAGCAGATATGGAAGCTTGATGTTCCCCCCAAAGTTCGGGATTTTATTTGGCGTATGGATCGTAATGTGCTCCCCACTAAAGATAATTTATCACAGAGGGGTTAATACTTCACTTCAATGTTTATTTTGCTAAGAATATGAGAATGGGGATCATGTTGCTGGTCAAGTGTTCTATTGCGAAAGAGGTGTGGAGGCAAGCTGGTTTTATTTTTGCAAATATAAATTTGTCTTTTCAGGAATTGTTCCTTCATATCATCTCTTCAAAGGAAAAGTAACGTGCCGAGCTGATGGCTACAGTTGCATGGAGTTTATGGGCTGCTCGGAACGCTATGTTGTGGTCCAATGCCTAGTCAAATCCTTGGCAAATTTCTCATGCGGCTCAACTGCTTCTAGATGATTATTGGGCTGCATCAGCTTCATCACAAGCAGCAACGGCGGCAATGGCGGCAATACACGCTGCATTTGCTCCTGCTCAACCAGTCCATATTGAGCATCAAGCTACTTGGCTCGCCTATGTTGATGGTGCAGTGTTTCGGGCAATGGATTTTGTGGGTTTTGGCTTGGGTATTGAGGATGCTGAAGGTCATTTTTCGTTAGCTATTTCGGATTTTGAGAAAGGTGGTGATGATCCGTTGATTGCAGAAGCTCTTGCTTTGAGGCAGTGTTTGTATTATGTCTTTGTTTCTTTACTTGATCCTCATTGCATTTTTACTCAATGCCAATCTTTATATTTGTCTTTGAAGTCAATGAGTGAGAATAATTCTGATTTTGGGTTGATTGTGTCTAATTGTAAGGCCTTGCTTCTTGATAGGCCAGATATTAAAGTTTTTTGGATTAGACGACAAGAGAATGAGTGTGCCCATCTGCTGGTACGTAACTCTATTCGCCATAATAGGTTTCAACTATGGATTGATATGTCGGATGTACTGATTGAGTTCTATTCTCAAAGATAATATATGAGTTCTCTTGTTTTCCAAAATAAATTGCTACTGAATAATGGAATTGAGAATAGAAAATCTATTCCCATTCCTATTCCATGTATTAAACATAACCTTAGAATTTTATCTTACACTTGAGATTTTTTGAAAGATCATTAATTTAAATCAATCAAAAGAATAATTTCAAATCGTTATTTAATTAATTTACAATTTTTATAATTTAACATATATAAAATTTATTTAAAAAAATAACAATTTTAAATAATTTTTTTTCCAAACCTTAACAGCCAGAGAATATTTATGCATGTGGCTAATTCAATTATATTATTAAATAATTGTCTGGCTGCTGCATTTTGAATAATGGAAGTATCAAGTGGGCTCTGCCATCGAATGTAGTTGCCGTTTTGGACCAAGTCAAATACACGTATGGTAAGGGTTAAGGAGTGACAGGGAAGAATAATAAAACTCTTTTTGGCCATTTTTTTTTTAGTTCTTTTGCATTTTCTTTTCCTTTTGGGTATGTATTTCAATGTTTTTTTTTTTTTTTTTTTATGATTGTTCCCCCCAAAGTTCGGCGACTTTCTATGATTGGCCGTCATGGATCCCGTACACCATCCCCGTCGCTCCACCCCACTACCAAGATAATTATATCCACAAGCACCGGGCAGCTCTACAATCCTCTCACTTCCAATGTTTTTATTTTAGCTCAAGACTATCGACGACATGCGACGATCCATGTTGCCTGGTCAACGTCCCGTTCTTCACTGGCGAAAGAGAGACACCGGGACGAGCTTCAGCTCGGGAAGGCAAGCTGCGTTTCTATTTCTTGCCAAAATAAAACTCTTGTCTCTTTACTCAGGAATGTTCCCTCATGTACTCATCCTCTTTCCAAAGGCACACAAAATTACACGTCGCCCGCAGCTGACTGCGCTACAGTTCCGCCCATGCGAGTCTTCATGGGACTCCGCTCGGAAACGCATACCACTCGTCTGTGCGGGAGGCGGGGGCACCCGGCCTTCCTCCACATGTCCTAGATCACCCACCAAATCCTTTGGCACAAACTCTTCTCCTCCCAACCTGCGGCCTTCAACACCTCGCCCTTCTAGAATCCAGATTATTTCGACAACCACCGCCCCACTGACCCCACTCCAACGCTCTACACTTCACAAAGCACGGCAACCACCACCACCAAACACAGGCCACACCACACCACCACAGCCCCAATGGCAACACGGCCCCAAAACAACCGCCTGCCACTGTGCCTCCTTATCAACACCAGTCCACTATCTGCGCCAGCAGCATCACACGCTACTTGGGCCTCCCGCCTCATAGTTGATAGCAGGCCATTTGCCAGCCCACTGGTCTCATCGCGCGCGCAATCGCAGCGGATTTTTTGTGCCCGGCTTTTCACTGGCTCGCCGGTATTTGCAGAGACTGGACCTCTGCCAACAGTACATTTTATCCTTTACGCCTATTTCCCACCGGACCACACACCTTCCCTTCGCGAGACACATGCGCTGTGACTGCATCCCGCTCTGCACACCTCTGCAGCCACCGACCACGCCTCACCTTGCTTTCGCACCACCACCCACACAGGCCCACCACCAGCACTGTTTACTCTCGTACTTACCTCGCTCCTTCTTCGTTGCTCTCCCTTCCACCTCTGCCATCTACCCTTCGCCACCTCTACCTCTCCACCTCAACTGCCACATCTATTTATTACTTTGATCCTATTCGAAGCGTTCACATGAAGCTGAGACATAATTTTGATTCTCTGGGCGTATGATTCGTAGCGTCTCAACTCTTGATAAGGCCACCTTGCGGATCTCCTGATCACGAGCCCACGATATTACACAGTTTTTTGGATTACGACCGGACCAAAAAGAGACCCCATTGAGTGTGCCCATGCCATGCTAGCGTACGTAACTTCCTATTTCACCCATACAATAGGTTCTCAAACTCATGCGACATTGATACTGTCTGCGACTCGTACTGATCGAGACTTCTATTCCTCCAAAGACTACAACTATAATGCAGTTCTCCTCTGAGCGCTTTTACCAAAATAACATCTCTCGCTACCCTGAATAAATGGGAAAATTTGAAAGAATAGAAACAATCCTACCATTCCCATTTCCCTACCTTCCATGCTCATCTAAACATAACCCTTAGCCAAATCTTCAATATCTTACACTTGAAGATATTTTTGCGAACGATACCATATAACTTTCAACAAAATCAATCCAACATAACAGTGCTTAGGAGCATTTCTTTGGCCCGCCAAGGAAACGTCGGAATATCTCGCAATGTCACTTTGAAAGTCTCCAAACCATTTAACGTCTAAATGGTTTTTATGACCATTCTAAAGCCAATACTATAAAATTTATCTTTGCAAACAAATTAATCAATTTTAACATAAGCTCTGTGTCAGGTGGCTTTTACCATAAAACCTTAACAGCCAGGCATGGAAGTCTGATTTATGCATGTGGCGGGCATTGGACGTTCTCAAATTGTTAAATAGCGGTTATTTTTACCATCACAGTGAATATGTTGCTTGGCTGCCTGCATTTCTGAATAATGGAAGTATATCGAATGGTGGCGCTCTAGTCCGCGCACTCCCCAGAACCGGCAACTAGTCTTGCGCCTCGCGCCGCGTTTTGGACCAAAGTCAAAACTTCTTATACGAGACATTCGGTAATCTAGCGCAGTAGGCCGTTAAAACCCGGACGAACGACGACTTCGATCGAGTGCCGGACCAGGGGAGAGACCGAATGAATAGAAAATCAACTCGTTCTGATTCCGGCCCCATCCTTTATAATGTTTTTTTAAAGCGTTCCCTTTTAGCGCACATTGTTCTTTTCCCCTTATCTTGGAGTCAGGTATCGGGTACCTGTGTACAATTTTGTCTCTTTCTTTTTTTATTCATTATAGAAGACTCGGTGGTTCTGAGGGTACGAATTTATTGGCGTTAACGGAGTCGCTAATCCTTGACCTCAACGTCCCCGCCCCCAAAAGCGGATATGTTAGCAATTTGCCCCGTCTCCATTTTTTTCCACCTTTTGGTTTTAATGGGACCAAAACCGACATAACTATAAGATTTCTCCAAGCAGCTCCCGCATATAGAACCGTATTGTACTAGCTCAGCGTCAACCGTTTCAGAACCACGATCACCCACCGATATACCAGAAAATTCTGATGTGACTACAGAAAAAAATACACTGACCTAACTAAAAATGCGATTAATTCTGAATCCAACTTAGAAAGTAGGTAATCGCGAGACCATCAATCGCGCGCTGTTACAATCCATTTCTCAAATGCTATATCAAAGATCCCAATTGCTCGACTTTACGTCGCAATCCCAAGTACAAGCGGATAGGCATGGAATTCCAAGGTTTCTGATTTTACAGTGCGATAGTTTTAGGTAATATGAGCAATTATAATATTACTTTTGCGAGATGAAAAATGTGTGGGAGTTGACATTTACACCAGGTCGTTTTCCTCATTTTTTTACAAGAGGTTGCTATGCTATATCAATTCAGTATATTTGTAATGTTTTTTTTTTTTTTTTTTCTTATAGAATGTGTTTTAGATTTTGTATCCTAATTGCAAGTCCCCCAAAGGGTATGTCAATTCCGTCTCCATTTTTCCACTTTTGTTTAAAAAAATATAAGATTAAATCGATTGAAAATTACTAGTTGAATCACCACGATATCAAAATTTTGTGAAAAAATGATAAAAATGGTATAATTCTGATCCAACTTAAAATTATCTCACTTTAAATATTTTTCAATCAAATATTGATTCGAACAAAATGATGATCAAGTTTATTTTAGTATAGTTTAATATACAATTTAATAGTTATTTTGGAGATGAAAATTGTGGGAGTTGACATTTCACCTTTTTTTTTAGGCAATAATAATTAGTATTTTCAAAATCCAACTAGATCGATTAATCCGCGAATCAAATATTTATTGAATCTCACGTGTGATCCATTTTTTATCTTAGTCAATTATACTTTAAAATAAAAAATAGTAAATTTATAATTATTTAAATTGAGTGGAGCAAATGTTAAGTAACAAGGGAAACTTTAAAAAAACTCATTAGTTCAGATCTTAGAACTCTGAAGTAATTTTTTTTTTTTATTTTCAAAAAATTCATAATTAGTAAAATATAAATTGAAAAATTACCAATAAAAGTTTAATTTTTTCTGAAAAATTTAGTTTAATATGGTACACTCAATTTTAAAAATAATTATTCTATAAATACCAATTAATTATTTAATCATTTAATTAAATAAAATGATATAAATATTATAATTTAATTACAAAAAAATATCAAAGCACATTGTGATCCCTAAATATTTTTATATTTGGTATTCATGATGAATGATTTGAAAATTTTTTTATAGCATTTAAATTATTATACTATATATTTAGATTGTTTCATTAAAATGTTGAATGCATAATAATATAATTGTGTTATGATTTTTTAAACTAATTATTTATAACTCTATTTTTTAATTTTTTATAAATAATTAAAAAAAATAAAGCAATTGAAGTGAGTTGATTTGATTCAACAGCGATTTAATTACTTCGATTCGATATTAAAAACAGGGGTATTGATTCAATTAACAAGCTTTTTCGAATTTGTTCTTTGAATTTGGATTTGGCTATTTTATTTATTTATTTATTTTAATCCTTTGACCCTTTAGCAGGACAGACGGAACTTTTGGCCTTTGAGGGCAGAGCGGATCTCCACGTTGGAATGCACGTCATTGTGGTTAGGTGAGACAGATGTCCAACTCCTTCACTACTCATAATATCAACTATTCGTATATTCCAATGCCCTTCACCTTTATGTTTTTCGTCCAATTTTATTTTATTTAATGTAATAATTATTTACTTATTATACTCCTTATTCCATTTAATGTTATGTACCAAACATAGCCTTAGTGACGCCCAAAAGGACTTGCATTAATGCAGGTGGTCAAAAAGGTTAAAGACGGTCAATGGAAAGAGACACAGAACCAAATCAGGAGGTAATCTGGTAATTTCATAAATATCCAACTAAGGGCTGTTTGGTATCGCCGCATGCATATTGTCATTTTCGTCCACCAAAAACTCCAAGCGGACTGTCCGAGAAAAACAAAACGCTTTCACTTCACTTTCTCTCTCGCTTTTATAAGCCCACACCTAACTGAAAATCACGGAAAAAGAAAGCCAGAACGTGAGAAAGCTATTTCCCGTCAATAACAAAAACACCTCTCTCCCTCTCTCTCTCTCTCTCTCGATCTCGATCTAATCATTAGTCTTGAGCGATGGCCTGTGCAAGCTTCGCAAAGCTAAACGCAGCGTCGTCTTCTTGGATCGGTCAACAGTCCTTTGGTCAGCGAACTGGTTCTTCCTCAACTCGCCTCGCAACTCGCCGAATCTCCCTCCCGATCTGTGCCAGTTCTTATAAGGACGAGCTTGTTCAAACCGCTGTTAGTTTCTCTTTTGATCTCTTGTGCCATTTTTACTACTGCTATATGTATGGTCTTGTTCTCAATTTACATATCGTGTTGTTTGTTGATTTTATTATTATTATATTTTGTTGGTTAATTGAATCGAATTTTAATTTTTGTTAGATTATTACGTTAATTGTTTGTTAAATTCAATTACCAACAGATATGTTTCTGATTAATTGAAAATAAACAATTATTTGATTTTGAAATTAAGAAAAAAAGCCTTTGGAGCTGCAATACCTTTTTTGCTAGACATAGTTGATGCAATGGAGACTGCAAAGCGTTTTCTTAGCCGAGGAGTAAAAATAAAATAATTTATCATAGCTTCTGGTTTTGTTATTAGTTTATTATGCTTATTGTATTTGGGTTGTTCTTGATTGTGTAGAAATCTGTTGCGTCACCTGGTCGTGGCATTCTCGCCATTGATGAATCAAATGCAACTTGTGGGAAGAGGTTGGCATCTATTGGGTTAGACAATACTGAGGCCAACAGACAAGCATACAGACAACTCTTGCTGACCACTCCTGGCCTTGGTGAATATATCTCTGGTGCTATTCTTTTTGAGGAAACACTTTACCAGTCCACTACCGATGGAAAGAAATTTGTTGATTGCTTGCGTGATGAGAATATTGTGCCTGGGATCAAAGTTGACAAGGTATATTTTTCTTAAGATTATGAAAATTTGGACTCCTGGACAGTTGTTTTAATTAGTTGCTGCTTAACAAAAGGTTTTTCTATGTTATAATTGAGCTTGTTTGTGTGTCATAGGGTTTGGTACCTCTTCCAGGATCAAACAATGAGTCTTGGTGCCAAGGCTTGGATGGATTGGCTTCAAGGTCTGCTGAATACTACAAGCAAGGAGCTCGTTTTGCCAAGTGGTAAGTTTGATTTATGTTCTGTTGATCATTTTTTCCTCCTTACCATAGCTTGCTTAATTACTTATGTTTTGCTATCTTCCATGTTCATATGGAATATTCAGGAGGACAGTTGTCAGCATTCCCTCTGGCCCATCTGCTCTTGCTGTTAAGGAAGCTGCATGGGGACTTGCTCGTTATGCTGCCATTTCTCAGGTGTTGTTTCACTTACAAAATCTATTATCATCCATATTAGCTAAGGCTCTTTTAGCAAAGCTAGAAGTGCATGCCTATATCATTTTCCCACTTGTATTCTTCTAGCCAGGGGTGGCCAAAATCCGGTTTTTGGAACTGGAACTGTCGGTTCCGAACCGGTTCCGGTTCCGGTTCCCACCAGTTTTGGAACCTTGAACCGGCAGTTGCCAAAACCAACCGGTTCGCTTCTGGTTCCACCAGTTTTGGAACCTTGAAACGGCGGTTGCCAAAACCAGTTGGAACCAACGGTTCCAGTTAGGGTTGGAACTGTTCGGAACTGTCCGGAACTGGTCCAAACAAGTCGGAGAACCGGTCGGAACCGTCGGTTTTGAAACCGTTAAGGAACCGGAACCGTTTGGTTCCAAACCGTAACCGGAACTGTTAATTTTCGGTTCGGTTCCGGTTCTAAAAATTTGGAACTGGAACCGTGGCCACGTCTACTTCTAGCCCCAGCCCCAATCCTCCTCATCCTTCCTTTTATTTATTTATTTTTTTTTTTTTTTATGTGTGAAGCCTATGATTCATTCAGTCAAGTAACTAGAAAGTCAAAATATTAGTGAATTGGTTTAAAATTGAGACTCATATGGTTCTCTGTTGGGATAATTGGGGTTCTTTTGAATTCTTGATGTTATTTCATTTTTCTCAAGTGATAGAGATTGTCTTCCAATTATTTGCCCTTTTCCAATGATCACTGGATCAGTGCTAAGCATGCATTTGCCTATAATTACAGTCTCTTTTTTAACACTAATTTTTTTATGTGCAGGACAATGGTCTTGTGCCCATAGTTGAACCTGAGATTCTTCTCGATGGAGACCATGGAATTGAGAGAACACTTGAAGTTGCAGAGAAGGTCTGGGCAGAAGTCTTTTTCTACTTGGCAGAAAACAATGTCATATTTGAGGGTATCCTGCTTAAGCCCAGCATGGTAACACCAGGAGCTGAGCACAAAGAGAAGGCTTCTCCAGAGACAATTGCCAAATACACACTCACCATGCTTAAAAGAAGAGTACCACCTGCAGTTCCCGGAATCATGGTATGAAAGCCTGAATTCCTATTTTGACGTGAATCTAAAGTGACAAAAAGTTGTTCGTAATCAGTGTGTCCTCTTCTTGCAGTAGTGAATTATAAAATCTTTAATATCTCTTAATTTCTAATTTAGATCTTGAATTTACTTAATCCAATTTCTTTTTTCTGTAGACTGGTCAAATCTTAATTACTTTCTTTGTTGAAATGAGATGAAAAATATACTGTTAATCACTTTTAGTTGGAAATTGGATCGATAGAAAACTGGAAAACTTGAAACATGGGGCCATATCTATTGCAGTAAACAAGTTTTATTGTGAGATAAAGATCTTAAGCATCTTGACTTCGCTGCTGTTTCATATGATTGTTCTCAGGGCAAATGCATGCTCATTTATTTTAAGTTGAACATTATTGAATCTCTTTTTGATGAATAAAGTTCAACAAAAGCAACTTCTGTTCCTTTGCAGTTTTTGTCAGGAGGACAATCTGAAGTGCAAGCAACCCTTAACCTCAACGCAATGAACCAAAGTCCCAACCCATGGCATGTGTCCTTCTCATATGCTCGTGCGCTTCAAAACACTGTGCTTAAGACATGGCAAGGACGTCCAGAGAATGTGGAAGCCGCACAGAAGGCACTTTTGGTGCGTGCCAAGGCAAATTCCCTGGCGCAGCTTGGAAGGTATTCTGCTGAGGGTGAAAGCGATGAAGCTAAGAAGGGAATGTTCGTCAAGGGCTATACCTATTAAGCAGCATTTCAAGGATTACCTTGCGTCTTGGTTTCTATTCTATCGAATTGTACTTCATAATTTCCGTTGGTTTCTCTTTTATCTTAGTTGGGCTTGCTGAGGAAATGTAGCATTAGACAAGTTAATTTTTCTTTCCTCGTTTGTCCAAAAGACTAGAGTCTTGAATAATACCTGTTTGTGGAAAGAAAAGTTTTCCAAACTATCTAGGAAGAGTTGGCTTAGTGAAAGAAAGAATATAATGTATTCTTCATATAAATTATCGTTCTTCAATTCAAATTCTGTGAATTTTGCTTCTGTACCTCTTTAAGCTACAACAATTGCATGCTTGGGGACTGTTGTGCTTGTATCCCAGATTGAGCGACTCTTGTACCATTGTTGGTGTATGCCAAGGGATGGATGGTAGAAAAAGGGGTATTTTATGTAATGGAATATTAATTTAGGGAAAAATATAAATTTATCTCTAAATTATAGTCAAATTAATGCATGAAGGCTTCTAATTTCAAAAACTAATGTTTCTAAAATATGATTCCGTTAATAGCCTCTTTTGCTATACTGAGAAAAGATAAGATTGACATTATGTCATTCTCTTTTGCTATTAACACTGTCCTTCTCTTTTGCTATACTGAGAAAAGATAAGATGAGAAGGAGCCTCTGTTAATTTTTCAACATTAAAATTTTTGTTAATTTGAGTATAATTTAGGTATCAATTTGATAATACTTCAAGGACTAAATAGTAGTTTACCCTTTATTTTTCCCAAACTAAATATCTCACGTGCTTACTTGTCCCACACTAAATATCTCACGTGCAAATAGGCGCGTGAATATAAAGCTTTATTTTTAGCGTATTATTACTAAGCACTAGCGTAGCAAGACTAAACTCTCTTCCGCCATTTCTGTCTGACTATCAGTTTATGATAACTCAAAGCCAGTAGTAACCACCGCAGTTAGAATCTAACAGAATTTCAGTCATCACCACCAAAAACGACACGGTCGTTCACCCCGCATGCTCTCTTCCCTTCTCTTTAATCTACCATTTCAGCAAATTCCCTTGAACTCACACCGGAAAACCCTAAAACCCTCACTTTCCCCTTCCTCCTCCACTGCAATGAAGGACCGGTCGCCTTCTTCGTACGGCGCCGTTTATGTCCCTCCTCACCAGCGTCTCCGTTCCATCATCACCGTGCAGAATTATAGCTCCGCCTCTTCTGCTTCTCCAATCGAGTGTAAAGTTCCTGATAATCAGACCGCTGCTGCTTTAAACCCTATAAAGAGCTCTCCTGCACCTCACTTTCAACAACAGCAGCAACAGCAGCAGCAGCGGAGGAATGGCTTTGGTGATAGTAATCATTTTAACAACAACAATGATAATGTTAATAACAACAGCAACAATAATAACCATAAGTTCATTTCTGCCTACGACGATGGAGTCTCTGAGGAAGGATCCGATCGTGAGATAGAGTCCTTGATGGTTCCACCTGTGAGTGATTCATAAATGTATATATTTTTATCGTTGTTTCCCTTTTGTTTTTGGATTTGTTGCTCTATGATTTTTGCTGGTTTTCAAATTATGCTTGAATTACTGCTTTTTATAATTCTTAGTTTCTTTTAAGTTGTGCATTTAACTGATTTCTAATGAACTGGCGTTCTTAAGTAATTTAATTAATAAAAATCAGTGTATATGAAGTCTTCCCCAATTGGCGGATGGTAAATTTTCCAGGATAACTGTTCTGGAATTATGGATTAATATTCTTCAAACGATATGTGGAGCTCAAATGGTTGTTACCTTTTGCATAGAGTTAAGCACTTGATTATTGGGTTTGATGATGACCAGATGGTTGCTTGCTTATGTCAAATATTGGCCAGAGGTTTGTCTTTATTGTGTATTACTGGGAGTTCTGAGAATTAGTGCCTCTATTATCAGAAAAGGTTGTAATCCTTTATTGGAGGTTTTGTCAGTTAGTTTGAGCAATTCATTCATTGTCTATTATTTCTTTTGTCGTGATGATTGTAGTTGCAAGTCCAAATTTACATCATGAAGCAGAATTAAATATTATCATGTGTTTTACAGATAGCCATGCACTTTTTACAGTAGAGAAATTGATAGCATCTGCTACAACTATGTTGCAATCCTTGAGCCCAATTTGCAAACAATGAGAATGTTGTTTTCTCTTGTCAATGGTTTAAAAGATTGAAAAGGCAATGGTGTCTTTGATTTTATAAAACCCTAAATTGGTAACAACATGTCGACGTCCTTTTGCTTAGCGATTGAACAATCCTGAGCTAGGTTTGCTTTAATGTCCAAAAAGGATGGCCTTCTGGCTACTACCATCTTTTATTTTTTTGGGAAATATGCAATGCTTTGTTCATTCCTTGCTTTTTTTTTTTTTTTTCTTTTCTTGTTGCCCAAAATTAATATCGTACATTGAAACAAAGGTAGAATCAGGATGCATGTGGTTGAGATTGAAATGTGAGGGGCTAACACAATTATATAGGTTTGAGTCCATCAACAGGAATTTAGACCATTAGCATTTTGCAAGAAATTTGGAAAGTGATTACCAAGGTTTTGGCATTGGGATTAAAAATGTTGATCAGCAAGATGTTAGGGCTATATTAAAATCCTTTTCTGGAAGAGGAGCCAGCCAAATTCTCAACCGTGCATTAGTGTCTGTATTTTTAATGATGATGGAACTGAGGAATGCTGGAAGGAAATGAATTGTGAAACCTATCTTGACACTGATATTTCAATATTTATTAATTGGTTCTTGATTTGTTGCGATTATCCAGGGATCTTCAACAAGGAGATCCCTTGTTTCCACTTTCATTCATTTTGGTACAATAGGTTTTAGGATACTCTTTGAACACTATGGAGAATACCTTTGAATTGTGGTTGCAGTCTCATGGGTCATGGGTCCATGGAAAAGAGATATTATCCACATTATGTAACTTTCGTGGCCAGTGTGGACGTGATTTTCTTTCATGCACCAGAAAATTACATTTAATGCACGAATTTGATAGAAACTATATTAAATGACACAATACCAATGCTTCCAATGAATTTTGGTTTGAATAAGAACTTATTTTGGTTTGACTTATTATGAAGTACTTCAATTAAACAATATCTGCCTGTTATGTTTAGAATATAGCTGTTCACAAGTAAAGGTATCTCACTCAAAAAAATTAGTCAATGAATTAATGGTATCACACAAGACTGGCACTGACAAGTTATTGTTACATGGGAAAAATCTAAAAATGTAAAATAATTTTTTTGGGGATTGGGGGGAGAATGTGTTGGTGTGCTGATGTGGAAAGTTTTATCATGCCATGACTGATGCTTATAATGTAGTAATCGCTGACTGTTTTTAAGCCCATGGATGGGCTTTTGAGAGGGGTGTAAGGTGGAAAGAAGATATGAAATTGTGTTATGTTACCACACCTTTTAGCCAAGGATACAATAAATTTTATGGTTTGAAGGCACAATTGATACTCTATTTCAGGTGCATCATCTGTTTTCAGGCCACTTTTGGGCTGAAGGTTAAAATGCAGAAAGTTAGTTTAATTCCTGTGGGAGAAGTTATGGATGCCAGTCTACTGTCTAGCATTTTAGAGAGCACGGTGAAGTGTCCTACTGTTTCCTCGTTGGGGTTTATCTTTTGGGAAGTCAGTTTCAGACGCGCACGTGTTTGGAATACTGTAGTGAGAAGCAAATGCGTATCGATATCATTGTTTCTGACCTTGTTTTTTACTTTATGTCTTACTTTCCTATCTCTTAGTTTTTGGAGTATTCAGATTTGGGGCAATGTTAAGGAGTTTAGATCCTACTCATTGAGTATTACATCTTTCACGCTATTCAATGAGGTTCTTTTTGGAAAAAGAATTTGGATTTTTGTGGTGGTAAGAAATGAGCTTTGGTAAATGATTATTGTAGCCAAAGTGTGGTGTGGAGAGAACCACCAAGGCATGTACTAGATGCATGCAACATGGATGATCATATCTCTTTTACCTCTATTCAAATTTGGATACATTTAAGACATTCCGGAGATACATCAAAAGATATCCAAAATGAAACTTGTTCATTTTATTTGTCACTGATATGTTTCTCTCTCTCTCCTTATTCTTATTTTACACATAATTTTGGTCATTGTACTGATATTCTCTTGGATAGTTTTTATTGCTGGAATAACGTGCGTTTTAATTTTCTGAAATACTCATACTTGTTTACGGTTATTGTGTACTGTTTAATTTGTGTTTGTCAGGGTGCTTCCTTTTCAGATAACATTGAGGAGTGGAAACGGAAGTTAACCATGCTTTTGCGAGACAAGGAGAAGCAAGAGTTGGTCTCAAGGGAAAAGAAAGACAGACATGATTTTGAACAAATAGCAGCTTTGGCAAGTAGAATGGGTTTGTATAGGTATCATTTGTTTCATCAGAGTAGATGCTTCAATCTGTTGTTGTCTTAGTAGTGTTCTCAACTGAAGTTATCTTTTTGCAGCCATCTGTATGTGAAAGTTGTTGTATTTAGTAAGGTCCCCTTGCCAAACTACAGATTTGATTTGGATGATAAGCGTCCACAGAGGGAGGTATTTCTTGTAGTTCTGGTCTCTAAATTTTTACCTTCTCTCTAATAAAATTTGGTTCGTACACCAAATATTTACATAGGCACACATGCATTTTGTAGTGCTACGGCTTTCAAAATTGATAACGTACTTCAATTGATTGCTAGCACTCAAATTTCATTTAAGTCTAGTACTAGAATTCAATATTAACCGCTGCTTGCTAAATGGCCTTATATTGTCTTCTGTTTGTTTTTTTTAAGCACGAGTTGAAAATCTTTTGTTCTCTGTGTTGAGTATCCAAATTTAACTTTCTTGTACGGTCAGTTATTTTATCAAATATTTAAAAAATTGGCAGGTGAGCTTACCTCTTGGTTTGCTAAGAAGAGTTGATGCTTATCTTGGAGAACACCTCTTTCAGAAGTCCAAGACGAAGGAAAGCTTTCCAGACTTTTCCATTTCTAGATCAAGCAGCAGTAGTAGTCTAGCTACTGATGAAGGGCTTTTTGAGCAGCCGGAACCATTGGCTTCCAGTAAGGCTGTCATGGAGAAAATTCTATTTCGGAGAAGTTTGCAACTGCGCGATCAGCTACAGGCGTGGCAGGTTCATCTTATACTGAAACATTTGAAGCTAGAGTATTTCTATTATTTTCTGAACACATCCTTTCTGTTTAACATTTTACTAATCAAAAATTGAGCACTATATTGGGCAATCGTATCTGGCAGGTTACTCTGTACAGTATATTGCTTACAATTAGTGGAAGGCTGCTTTGTTTTGTTCCTTCATTGTTTAGAAACCAGACTGGATGGGTAGTCCTACCAGGAACTGGTTTGATCGTTGGTCTGGTCCCACAGTAAATGCTTTACAGTTTTCTAAAATTACAGTAATGCTAATGATTTAGTATTTGATATAATTTTGTGAATTTTAGAAGAAAATGCCACGATAACATTAGCTGTTTCAAAATTTTTAGTATTTGATATAATTTTACAAATTTTGGAAGAAAATACTACTTTAAAATTAGATTTTGTCAAGTATAAAAGGGAAGCTTAATATTGGATTTTTTTAATTTACTTGTTTGGTATCCTACAATGTCCATTTTCAATTATTTTCTGTTAGTACTGGTCCTCTAATGTTTACTTGCACATTTGTGCATGTCCTTTTCAAATAACTTCCTTGTTCATGCAAAAGACTGATTTGTATGTAAAATATTAAACAATGCAATCTTTGGATGTTAAAATATGTTTTTGGTTTTAAATCATTCAATCCTTTCTAGCATATTTTTGATTGCATGAAGTAGGGTTGAATAGTTATAGTTATTTTTTAATTTTTTTTTTTTTTTAGGATTCTCTAGAAGGCAGAAAAATGCTGGAATTTCGGAAAAGTTTACCTGCTTATAGAGAGAAGGATGCAATATTGACAACTGTTTCACAAAATCAGGTTCGAAAGCTTTTATTATTGGTCTTGTTATCAGTTGCTCATGCCACCTTGTGGAAATATTCCGTTAGGAAGTTTTAGGTTAAATTCAGGTTCTCATGAGAAATGGAAGTATTAGGCATGAGTGAGGAGCTCAAACTTGGTTCTATTTTAAACTATTTGACCTTCTCTGAACGTGTCATGCTTCACTATTGTGTCTGGATGATCATTTTGGTATTACATGGTTTTGTACTTTTATTCTTTCTTTGTCCATTATATTTTGCCTTGGGGATGTCAATGAGCTGATTTGCTTATGCTCTACCTGAATCTCAACTTGATAAAGTTTGTACAAGTTTTTTCATAATCAATTTGATACATAAGTGAATGTGAGTTAGGAAAAGCTCAACCCATTTCATGAGCAGGATTATTTATACATTCTAAGTAAGTCAGATTGTCCATAAATTTACTGGTTATTGATTTTGACCTTAAGTTTTGTGTTTATATCTATAATATGTAGACAATTACCTATTTAAAAACTGCTTAATAAGAGAAAACATTTTGGAAAAAAAAATTCTCCTTTTGAATTTCATGACCTGTATAGTACGTTGGAAGTTTCACATTTTACCATACAAGTTACTAAAATGAACAAAGGTTGTTAGATGTATTAATTTTGTTTTACAAATAAATATTAAAGTTTTTTGAATGACCTTATTTACGACTTAAGTCTATTTAGGAAGAATTTGGCTCAACTTCAGCTTAGTTAAAGAGATAAAAGAAGTAGGTTGCTATTTGCTCAGCTCAACTTTTTTAACAAATGGGCTAAGCAAGGGCCTAAATTTAATGCTTATTAAATGAGGCAAGCTTGTTTTCGCTAATATTGGCTCAGGTTATTTGCTGCTAATCTTTTAACATCATCCTTCTATTCTCTTGTGCATTAATGGGCTGTGGACTGGGCAATTTATAATGATTCCATACTTTCCTGTACCTATTCCATTCTGTTATTTCCTCTATTATAAACACAGTTAGGAAAGTTCTGTATCATCACCTTACCTCTCAATTCTGTAATATTTTAATGTTGGAATATATGAAACCTTCTATTAGGTTGTCCATGTTAACAGAAATATCCAGCCCGTCCAATTAACTTGCCTATTAACAAACTGAAGATATTTGTATTTGCGTAATACATAATTGGCTGTAGTTTAGATTTTGAAGAATCTGAAAGGTCAGTATAATGCAGTCAGAACTGATTATATCTAACCCAAACGTTGTGTTATCTCATGGAAGACTTTTAGTGCTCTCCAAAGTACAGATTCCATATTTGGCTATTTCAATTGAAAACCCCACTTCTAACTCTTCTTTATTTTCTTTTACATTTTTGTCTTTTCAATTTTTGTTTCCATAGTTCGTCTAGTGTAACTGTTGTTTTTGGGCTGTGAAAAGAAGTTGAAATTAGAAAGAAAAAGAATAAATTAGGCCCATCATTTTCTGTTGCTGTAAAGAAAAATATCCTTGGAAGTTTAGTTAGAAATAAACAACAAGGTTAGTCACTTTTCACTTGCTTGATGTGGAAACAAAAAGAAAAAAGTTCTTGTTTTTCTCTCCAACTGTAGATCTCATTTGTATTTTTCTTTTAAATCAAAAAATATCAGGAACTACAGATTAATTGGAGTTAAAATCTGAAAGTTCTCCTTGATTTGGATTTTTTTGATTACCAAAATATATAGTTTAAAAAAAGAAGAAATGTTATTTGTGTTTGTTACTGGAAGGCGAAGTTCAGGGGACAACAAAAGGCTGTTAAAACTTCATTTAACCCTGCACTACCTGCTGTTACAGGTGATCTGTGCTAACTGACTTGCTCAGACTCATAAATTTGTTCAATCCAGGGCAGTTTGGTTTTTCTTCCCCTGGTGAGCTCAGATCAGTGGAAAAATTAAACATGCACCAGCAGCCTACCTTCTTATCAGTTATTCTCTAACCAGCATATTTCCAAAGAGAGTTTTAATAAGTATTCGTTGTGACTATCCCCTCCCTCTCTTCTGCTGCTTTTTCTCTTTTCTCTGTCTCTCTCTTACCCTCCTAAAAAAAAAAAAAAAAAAAAAAAAAAAATAAAAAAAAAAAAAAAAAAGAAAAGAAAATACATGCATGCCCTATGCATCCAAATGCATGACACTTGAACACGTCAGAAACCCAAGAAATAACCATGTTGCTCACTGTGGAAATTGTTGAAAGATGTGATAAATACTTTCTGTCCACCCCTTCTTTCCCAAGAATCAGGGGTTGGAAGGGGGAAGGACGATATGTTGTCGTGTCACTGATGCAGTCACTCGTAAATATAAGCTGCTTTGTATTAATCTTTGTCTTGATTGCGCAGCTGCATCAATAGTTTGATTTTGTTTCCTTCTCATTTTCTTTTTTCATTTTAATATAAATTGGTAAACACGGTGCCCACTGAATTGTGCAACAGTTCTTATGCTTTTTGTTGTTTGCATCTAAAGTAGGTATGAAATGTTGAAACTTCGCTGTGATGTATTTAATTTAGCCGCTGGTCCATCTTAGATTAATTTATTTATATGGGCAGATAGTTATAAAATTTGTTATGGTGCCCATGAATTGATATGTTCCTTTAATAGTCAATATTATGCAAGTATCAGTTCTTAATGATGCCTTGCGTTTTGTGTTTTATAGGTGGTTATTATCTCAGGTGAAACAGGCTGTGGCAAGACCACACAAATTCCCCAGTTCATATTAGAATCTGAGATAGAATCTGGCCGAGGAGCTGTTTGTAATATAATATGTACTCAGCCAAGACGAATATCTGCCATGTCTGTTTCTGAAAGAGTTGCTTCAGAAAGGGGAGAGAAATTAGGCGAATGTGTGAGTTCTGTATCAAACACAGTCTGAAAATATTTTCCCAAGTCACCACCTGCTCTGAATTTAAACAAAATTGAAAGTGACTATTTGTGTTTCTTATCTTAAAGGTTGGATATAAGGTTCGGCTTGAAGGTATAAAAGGAAGAGATACTCACCTTCTCTTTTGCACCACGGGCATCTTATTGAGAAGATTGCTTTGTGATAGAAATTTAAAGGGCATAACTCATGTTATTGTGGATGAGATTCACGAACGTGGAATGAATGAGGGTAAATTGATAGTTGTTTCATTTTTATTTTGTGAAGGGGGATAGGTTTTCCTCCAATTTATATTTTCTCTTCTTCATTCACTTGTAAAATTTTGATCTTTTAACTGTTAAAAAGATTTTGGATGATGCATTCTGACTCTTTCCATTAACGTTTGATGCCAGACTTTCTGCTCATTGTCCTTAAAGATCTCCTTCCTCGTAGACCAGAACTTAGGCTGATTCTGATGAGTGCGACCCTTGATGCAGAACTTTTCTCATCCTACTTTGATGGAGCTCCTATACTTCGCATTCCAGTAAGTGTAAAAATGAAGATGTCTTCAATCGTGGTTTTCTGAGGGGAAAAGGGAGTGTTCTGGTGCATACTTGTGATGATTTTGGAGACCAATTTGAAGTGACCTCCTCCATCTGCTTTTGTTTTGTTTACTATCTTTTTCTTAACATATATTTTTCTGGTAGCTGATTCTACAAAAATAATTACTGAACATAATTATATCCTGTGTTTGAACATGAATGTCTTGCTGCTTACTCTTTATCCTCATTCAGTCATTTACGTTTTTTATTTAACAAATAATGGTATTGGCTTTGGCTGTATTCTATATTCTACTTGCTGTTTGTTTTTCTTACATCCTTTCAGCAAATGTTATGAGTTGTGCTTTAATGTCAGTATGCTAGTTGGTGTGATGCCTGGAGGAGTCCGATCCTTGACTGATATGAAGGGATTCCAAGTATTCATTACTCCTCCATTTGTTCATATGACAACTTTCTATTGGATTTTTTGTTTTTGTACCTTAATTTACCTGTATAGGAGCTCTAATGAATTCAAGCTTACAAAAGTGCAAAATAAATTAAGCAAGAAGTGTGATTTTAAAACACTCAGATGGTTCCCTATCTGATAAAAGGTTCGGTTATGTAATGATATTATCATTTCTCCTAGCATTTTTTGGGCTTTACATATTTTCATATCTTTGTGGTTCAGTTGTGTTCTTACCATGGTTGGGTGAAGCTTATTTATTTAAGGCATCCATAAATCTCAGCATGTGAACCTTTTTGTGGATATCCAGTTTTGTTTAATTTCTGGCATAAGTTATATTAGAATCTAGATATTAAAAACCTTCTAATCAAGAACACTATTTTTATGGATTGATTAGGGTTTTGCATACCCAGTGCAAACTCATTTTCTGGAAAATATCCTGGAAATGACTGGTTACAGATTAACCTTATACAATCAAATTGACGATTATGGCCAAGAAAAGATGTGGAGAACAAGTAAACAAGCTCCAAGAAAGAGGAAGAGCCAAATTGCTTCTGCTGTAGAGGTATATGAAGTTCTTATGTTATTGCTGCTTCTGCAATGTTAAACTGTTTCCTGATTTTTTGTTCTCATTTTGGCAACAAAACACCCAATCAGGATGCACTAAGAGCTGCCGATTTCAAGGAGTATAGTCCCCAGACTCGGGAATCTTTGTCATGTTGGAATCCTGATTGCATTGGGTTCAATCTCATTGAATACCTTTTGTGTTATATATGTGAAAATGAGAAGCCTGGTGCTGTTCTAGTTTTTATGACTGGCTGGGATGACATAAGCTCTCTGAAGGATAAGCTCTCGTCTCATCCTATTTTAGGAGATCCAAGCCGAGTTTTGTTGCTTGCTTGCCACGGTTCTATGGCTAGCTCGGAGCAGGTGACATTTATTGTTTTAATTTAATCATCTAATTTGTTAGTTTTGTTGATTGCATGGTTGTTTTTTTAAAAAAAAAAAAAAAAATTTTTTTAAAAAAAAAAAAAAAAAAAATTGGTATTGACAATTGATCAACTTATGCTGGCATGATTATATTCGTCAGCAGCAAAAGATCGAACAGCATATTGGTTCTACATATTTTAGCTGCTTTTTGTCCTGATGTTTTTATAATTTTATTATTATGTACTTGAGAGGTTGCAGTTAAAAAAAATTCATCTTGTTTCTTCTGTTTTCTTTTTGAAAGAATTTCTAAGAAGATTTATCTGGGCTTCTTGCAGAAATTAATATTTGATGATCCCAAAGAAGGAGTGAGGAAAATAGTGCTAGCTACCAATATTGCTGAGACAAGTATCACAATCAATGATGTTGTTTTTGTACTCGATTGTGGAAAGGCAAAGGAGACCTCGTATGATGCACTGAATAACACTCCTTGTCTGCTTCCTTCCTGGATTTCTAAGGTTTCTGCTCAACAAGTAAGGTCTTCCTTGGTTTGACCTTTTGATTTCCAAATTCCAGTATTGATTTGTGATATCATATACAAGTTACAATATTGATCTAATCCACTTGAAGCAATTTTTAACTAGTGTGAACTTAGATGTATGGTCCTTTCACTTCCACTCATCTCAAAGTAGGTGTCTAATTTGTATGCCTTGTTATTTTAGCAGAATGTGATGTGTCCAAATTGCTGAAAAATGCAGTATTTTATCTTGCACCAGTCAATTATGTTCATTATTTAGTGAGAAAAGAAAAATGGGAGATAGGAAGGTGCTATACGAGTCATGACTGTAAACAAATAGGAAGACTATCCAACTCTGAAGACTTGTTCATGTATCAAGTGATTTTGTCTTAGAAGGCTAACACAATTAATGTGGTTAGTTTAGTTGAGCTTACTTGAAACTCTTTTGCTTCTTTAATTTACTCTTACATTAGTAGAACATTCAGAGTCTTCATCTAATTTATTTGCTGGTCCTTAATAATTGTTGTTTCCTGCAGCCACCAACAATCAAAGAAACAAACAAAAATTAGGATGTATGTCCAAAGCAAGACTATGTAAATGGTTATTCTAATTGTAGATTTTAGATGAGCTAGGAGTTAAATTAAACTGTTAAAATACTTAGGGAGCTTTGTGCTCATTCAACCTTAGCATGATCTTCAGCTTTTGTCATATAGTTCCGGATGTACTTATATAGCCATGCAGTTTCACCTGAGTTTGGCCATATTTTTAAGAATGTGGCTCAAGGATTTCGTAGTTTGAAAACTTTCCTCTTCAAGCCGATTGTTGGGAGTCCCATAATAAATTGATTGGAAATTCAAAATGGCTTGATAATTGGTATTAAATTTTGAATGCAGTTGTATTTTATCCATTAGAGGGTATATCAAATATGAAGTTGTATGTGTAAGAATGGTTCCAAATTTTTTCTATTTCTTTTTTTGTTTTTATTTTTCAAAAAGGAAGAGAGAAGATATCTTCAGTTGTACAATATATAAAAGACTTAGTCACATAAATACCCAAACTTTTGTCAATTTTGTCAGCACCTTCTTATCATCTATGTAATCCAACTTTTACATTTGAATCCATTTTAGCTTTCCTAGGATCCCCTGGTACTTTGCCAGTATCCATCTGATGCTGGTGCTGGTGTGATGTTGATACTGGATTGGTCCATTCCCAGTTGCACTATTGTCATACACACACACAAATCTTGGTATGTATATATATCTTGGTATTTATATTATATATATAATAATATATATATATATATATATATATAATAATATATTATTATATATTGAAATAAAAGCAGTGGCCAAAATTGGATGTTGTCTAGAGTTTTGGATATTTTGGTTAGTGACCAAGAAAAGGGAAGTGAAAGAACCATTGTAGAGGAATGATTCAACTCTCTTTCTTGACCTTTAAAAATTCTTGTTCCAAGGAAAGAATGAGATTGTTCGCCTCATGGTAGAATATCTATTATGCTTTATGCGTTTGACCAATTAGTAGGGGATGCCTTTTTAAATGCTGGGTCTTTTGGACCATCTACTTGTTAATTGACTTTTTTTTTTCTTTTCTTGCTTACTGATAATGTAGAGAAGAGGAAGGGCTGGCCGTGTTCAACCAGGACAATGTTACCATCTCTATCCTAGATGCGTATATGAAGCCTTTGCAGAGTATCAATTGCCAGAAATTTTGAGGACACCATTGCAGTCTCTTTGTCTGCAAATCAAGAGTTTGAAACTTGGAAGTATCTCTGAGTTTCTCTCCAGGGCTTTGCAGTCACCTGAATTCTTGGCGGTAATGTCAATTGAGTTAACATCTTTGAACTAATTTTCATATCCATATCGCTCTTTTTTTTTTTTTTTTTTTTTTTTTAAATTTTTTTTTTTTTAAAAAAAAAAATTCCTTTTTCTATCAAATCTCGTCCTTCAAATGTTATTCTTCAGTTCCAAATTTAATGTGCAAGTAGTTTTTCCAGATGCAGCCTTTTTTTTTTTTTTTTTTTTTTTTTTTTAAAAAAAAATTCCTTTTCTCAAATATCGTCCTTCAAATTTATTCTTCAGTTCCAATTTATGCAAGTAGTTTTCCAATGCAGCCTTACTCATGATTTTTCTTCCTGAATTTATGTTTCATAGGTTCAAAATGCCATTGAATACTTAAAAATCATAGGGGCCTTGGATGAGAAGGAAAATTTGACTGTTCTAGGTATGTTTAAATTTTTTTTTTTTTTTAAACAATGCTTGTAACTTATTTTCCTGCAGAATATCAATTTCATTCTATTACTTGAACAGGAAGGTATTTGACCGTGCTTCCCGTGGAGCCTAAACTTGGCAAGATGCTCATATTAGGTTCTATCTTCAATTGCCTGGATCCAATATTAACTATTGTGGCTGGCCTTAGTGTTAGGGATCCTTTCTTGACGCCGCTGGATAAGAAGGATGTAAGCTGGCTTCTTATGAATTTTGTTATAAGTGAGCCCTGATAATTATTTTCCTAATCCTCTTTCTCTTAGCAAGATTTAACCCATGGTTATTTCCCTTAGTTCATCTGTGATAGAAGAAATGGTTCCAATTTTATGTGCAAATCCAACCATCCACATCCCATTTAAGTCCCTTAAGGCTTATAGATGCCTCTAGATATCTAGAGTTTAAAGTTGAGCTTAGCTGCCTTGTCTTTGTATACCTTGATGAATTTAGATTTTCTATTTATATTTTTATTTGTGGCTTTATTTCATTAATGCCTATTTCCTGAGCATTTATTTCTTGCAAAGTGACACTTGTTGATGAATGTTATTTAGGAAGTTGCAACTTTTGGTGTTTGGGTCGTAAACTATTTCCTAGAAGCATCATTTTCTTTAGTGAATAATGTGTCTCCACGTCCACCTATGAGAGATTATAACCTTTGTTGGACCATTTATGGTCCCAAGCTTGGATGAAGGAGCTGCATAAAATTCAAGTTGCCCCAATGGAAGTAGAATGGAGACAAATATCTTTATGGCTGGTTCCAACTAGATTAGGTTCAAAACTTAGTTGTGGTTCAGTCAAACTTCCTGGAAAATATGTTGTAAAAGTTAATAATATTCAGCTCCCTGGAGGAATTTGTGTTTTTAACTTTTACAAATTAATTTTCCTCACTTGTTCTTATATCCATTCAAAAAGTTGATTTTAGGTTATTTATTAAGAATTAAGATAGTCCAATAAGTTTACTTTCTACTTCTAGTATGAGCGCTGAGCTACTTCCTTGGCTTTAATATTTTACTTTTTCTGCCATTCTTGTATTTCTGCATCGACTAAGGCTCCAACATCATGTAAGGCAATACTGTTGGTATTGGAGCAAGTTAATCAAGGTACCACCAGTGGTCATAGAGTATTTTGTAACAAGTAACAACCCTTGTCATTCACTGAAGTTTTTTTATTTAAGTGGTACCACTTGCTCCTCTGGACGTGTGTTTGAAATCAAGTTAGTTCTCTAATTGCTCAGTGAAGAGTTCAGGTGTATGTATATTTTGGCACTTATTACTTGACTTGTTTGTGATGTTTGGAATACTAGGATCAATTATGTATCTATTCCTACTGTGCAGCTTGCAGAGGCTGCTAAATCTCAATTTTCCCGTGACTATAGTGACCATCTTGCCCTTGTCCAGGCCTATGAGGGCTGGAAAGATGCCGAAAGAGATTTTGCAGGGTATGACTATTGCTGGAAAAATTTTATTTCAGTACAATCTATGAAAGCTATTGATTCTCTTCGGAAAGAGTTCTTCTCCTTGCTCAAGGATGCTGGACTGGTTGATAGCAACACAACCACTTACAACTCATGGAGCTATGAAGAGCGCCTCATCCGAGCGGTTATTTGCTATGGACTCTATCCAGGAATTGCCTCTGTCGTGGTGGGTCATTTGTTGTTTTTGTGTAGAATGTGCTAATACTGTTCATTTGGCGATATTTATTCCTCATATATTTTATATAAAGATGTTGGACCTTCTCAAAAAATAAATAAATAAATAAAAGAGCGTAAAGTATGCTTTTCTGTATGATTTTGATGGATACTGACATAATTGCATACACAGCATAACGAAAAGTCATTCTCTCTCAAAACTATGGAGGATGGGCAAGTGCTTCTATATTCTGTGAGTCTTGTCTTTCTAATTATAATATTCATTTCTAAGTTCTCTTTTCCAAAGGAAGAACCAGGCTTTCTAAATCTTTCTTATTTTATTTTGTTTTAATTGTATGGTTTTTCCCCTAGAACTCGGTGAATGCTCGTGAATCTAAAATTCCTTATCCATGGCTGGTTTTCAATGAGAAGATAAAGGTTAATGCTGTTTTCCTTCGGGATTCAACAGCTGTTTCTGATTCAGTATTGCTTCTGTTTGGTGGGAGCATTTCCAAGGGGGACACTGTAAGTCTCCCTCTTTTCTTTTTCTACTTCTTGTTTTCTGGAGCATATAATTAAAGTGAAATAATTCATCACACGTGATGCTATGATAGGATGGACATTTGAAGATGCTGGGAGGATATTTGGAATTCTTCATGAAACCTGATGTAGCTGAAATTTATCAAAGTTTGAGGAGAGAACTAGACGAGTTTATTCAGACCAAAGTAAGTGGAACTTTGAGTGAGAACTAGTTCAACTGATATTTATCTTCTTTTTTTCTTTAAAAAAAAATTCTTGAGGATTTAAAATGCACATTATATTTTTGTTACTGTTATTTCATTTTTAAGTAATCTTCAATTGTCCATGGTGAATATGAGCAGCTTCTGAATCCCAGGATGGCCATACATACATATCATGAGCTTCTGTCTGCCATACGCTTACTGGTCTCAGAGGATCAATGTGATGGCAAATTTGTATTTGGTCATCAAGTTCTCAAGCCCTCAAAGGTATCTGTTATGGCAACGCAACCAAACTTAGTGTCAAGGACTGAAAGTGGACCTGGAGGTGACAATTCTAAGAGTCAGCTACAAACATTGCTAACCAGAGCAGGGTATGCTGCACCGTTGTACAAGACGAAACAGTTAAAGAACAACCAATTTCGAGCTACTGTGGAGTTCAATGGAATGCAAATTATGGGGCAGCCATGCAACAACAAGAAGAGTGCAGAGAAAGATGCAGCAGCTGAGGCCCTGCAGTATCTGATGGCTGGGACCCAGACAGGCCAAGAATACATCAATCACGTGTCAATGTTGCTAAAGAAAAGCAAGAAGGATCATTACTGACCTAGCATCATCAAGCTTCCCATAGGCAGCTTTTTTTGAATGCAACAAGCGCGTGTGCAGAGCCATGCCTGAGAATGCTAAAATATGGTCTCACTGATATGCAGGTCTGGATCTCCTCACTCGTTAAAGCGGAAACAGACAGTGGAATTGCAGTGTTGCTTTATGAAGCTTAACATTAGCTTGATATTTGGACATGGCCGTTGAGAAATATAGCAACCTGGCGCCAGACTCACATGCGCATGCTGGTAACTTGAAAACCAATTTGGATAGTTAGATGGGTTTTAGACAAGGAATTTAGCCAATTGGAAGAGTTACCGTTGAAAGGATTGGTTGTCATTTTGTGGTTGCATGATTGATGTTTTTGGGCAATGTGTTTATCTCAAGTAGATTAACTGAGTGGCTGAATATTATTGGTGGAAGTATATAGGCTGATTTTAGAGAGGAACATGACTAAGTTTAACCCTTCTGAGTTTAATAGAGCTATTCTTTTTCTTTTTTATTTTTTCTAAAGTTGATTCTTGTATATTATTATGATACTTTAAAGACCGCAGAGGCTTGTATATTGTAATGGTTGAACTCCGAATGCAGCACAGCATGTAGCTTTTTTCTTCTTATTATCAGAAGCTCCAGTGCAGTTTCTTTTTTCGTTAGTCAGGTTTTTTCCCATGAAATCAGCTTCTTTTTCTTCTATTATTTTCTTGACAGGATTCTTTTAGCACAACGTACTCAGTTTGGAAGCAAATTGATGTAAACCGCTGGTTACTTGATGAAAGCTTGCAAAATGTGAACTATCAATATGAGCACAATTGTTTTTTAGGTATCTTATTCTGATATTGTTAGAGAATGAGAAACCATTGTTGTATAAATTGCGAACTATATAATGTAAAAATTAATGTGATCATTGGAATCCCAATAATTCTAATTTGTTTTTATTGATTTAAATAGAACATTTTAATATTAACGTTTAATTCATGCTAACACGATTTCAAAAGAAGAAATTGAGTTTCAGGTTTTATATATATTTATATAAATAGAATATTAAATAATAGTATTTAATAATTTTAGATAAAACATTTTAACATTTCAAAAATTGAAAAAAAATGAAAAATTTTAATTTTAATTTTTTTTTCAAAGATATCAAATAGGACTTTCTCTCTAGATTGCTCCAATTCTCCCTAATCCCTTGTTGGCCTAACCTCTTTAAAATTAAACCTAATCTTCCCACCCATTGACTCATAATTTTTATTCATTTATTTACTAATAATAATTGAGTGCAATCTATTAATTTTATTTTCCTTTTGAAAATTCAATAAATAATATTAGGACATTACTAGACTAATTTTAATTCAAATTCATTTTTTTTAATAATATCAGTGTATAAAGTTAAGAATTCAAAATTTTGTAAAAAAAAAAAAATTCTGCCTACCCAAAAAAATTATTTAACTCATCATTTTTTTTAATTCGTTAAAGGCTTTTATGACCGAAATAACAATAACACTGCAGGTTACTCACAACACCTATGATCAAAAGGATTTAAATTCGAAACCTCTCGCTCCTCACATAAGTAAGAAGACTAACTAGACCACTATCTGATTGGTTTATTTAACTCATCATTAAATACTAGTATAATTTTATAATATATTTGGCTTAATTACGTACAAAAATACTTTAATTTAATTTAATGTTTTTTCTAATTTTTATCACTAAGTTTTTAGTTTTAAAAACTTGATATAAAAATTTTAATTTTTTATAATTCTAGCATCTATCAAATTTTAAGCCGAATTAAACCTAAATTTGTAACCATTAGATCATGAATTTCTCATTTCTCTATTAATTTATGTGAATATCCCAAAATTTTGCACCATTAATATGAAAATTTTACTATAATATTTTCATAGGAAGGTTCCAAAAAAGAAAATTCAGATATTTTATATTAAAAAAATCATAGCTTACTTTGACTTGAAATTATTTTAGTGATAGAATTGTAAAAATTTTAAAAAGTGTTAAAAAAAAATACCAAAATTACAAAACTATTCGTATACGCTCATTCTACAATTTAACAAGGCCCAATCTTTGACCGACCGAATTAAGTTAGGCCCAAACAACTAATCTTCGAAATACCCATTAAGGATTTTTTCTTCTTTCTTTTCTTTTTCCACCCTTTTCACTTGAGTGCCATTGGAGATAAAAATAAAAAATAAAAAATCTACAAGGATGACATTCGAATATATGCCACCAACTCTTATACCTTTATCACTAGGCTACGTCAACAATTTTTACTGTGACACATCCAATAAATTTATTGTATTTTTTTAATGTGATCGTCATTTAATTATATCATCATTAGTAAAAAGGGAAAATTTTGAAAAATAATAAAAAGAAAATAAAAATAAACATTTTTTCATCAGCTTTTTTTTTTTGTTTTTAAATGATAGATCATACCTCAAGAACGAGGATTTGTTTAAAATAAATGTGGACTTTACATATGATGTTGCATATGTAATAACTCCTGTATCAGAGAAATCCACTTCAACTGAAAATAATTTTAAAATATCAAGACGTGTCGAACGTTGTATCTATGTTTTTTTTAATAATCTTTTTTCACTATTATATATTCATACCTCAAGAACGAGATTTTGTTTAAAATAAATGTGGACTTTACATATGAATGTTGCAATATGTTAATAACCCTGTATCAGAGAAATCCACTTCAACTGAAAATAATTTTAAAATATCAAGACGTGTCGAAGCGTTGTATCTATGTTTTTTTTAAATAATCTTTTTTTCACTAATATATATAATATATATATAATATATATATATATATATATATATATATATATAGTTTCAGGAATGTAAATTCAAAAAATTTGAAGACTAAAAATGTTTAATAAGTCATAATAAATATAATATAGTACATCAATTAATATTACTTTTATGCAACATTTATATTCAGAAATTTTTTAATTATAATCATAATTACGTTATTGTACTAGAAAGTTTTTGTATATTAGATTACGGCTCAGTAAACATAGTCCTTCTTTAACAATGAATGAATGGTAACCATTCTAAACATTAAAATCACAGAACTTGAGTTGCTATGTTATTTTTTTAATGTGGTATATAAATATATAATATATATATATATATATATATATATATATACTAATATTTAACTTCTAAACATGAATAAATAAAAAGAGACTCTAAAGTTCATGCATATATATATTTAACTTCTAACATGAATAAATAAAAAGAGACTCTAAAGTTCATGCATGTGATCCAAATTATTCTATAGGGAAATGAAAACCGCTGAGCAAGGGATATTTTGATCATTTGATAAGCAATCACAACCAATAAAATAAACCTTTCCAAATCTAAGCCCAAAAACAATAAAATTTTTCTAAAAATCACCTTGAAAAACAGAAGCCTTCTTCTAATTTTTCTATTTCTTTTAATATTAAAAAAGAAAAAATTAAAACTGAATTTATTACCAAACATTTGTGTACTTATTACCGGACTATGTTTTCTTCTTAGATCCCTTATACGAGTCTTCTCCATCTCACCTTTGTGAAATTATGGTACAAGAATCAAGTCACAACAATGGGATCTATCCTTTTTTTTAATTAATTAATTAACATTTCTATTTTCAACAGTGCTTTCGTTTTTTTAAATAATTAATTATTAAATAAATAAATAAACATAAAAAATTTCGTGGCCATCCTCGAAATGCGACATTGATTTTGCTGTCGGCTAAGTAGGCCAAGTTTTGATTAGGTAAAATAATTTTGAAAGAAATGGCATTTGACCATATGACTGTGAGACAGCCTGGGTAAGGTCCTGGTCTTTCATGTCAAAGATTCCTCTCAATGAAAATTAAATAATTATTTCCCTTTTTTTTAATTTCAATTATTCTTTTAAATTAAATATTTACTGTTTGTTAAGACAGAAAATTCAAGTCAGGCAACACTATGTGTTATTGTCTGGAATTTATATGATCCTCAAATTTGTACTTCGTTAAAAAAAAACCCAATTGAAGTGCAACACATATTCAATGCCTGAACCCACCATTGTGATCGATCCGTCCTCGTCGTGATGCTGTGTGGTTGCTGGGGATACGTGGGTCGGTTCGATATGATTCGACAATAAAATTGAATTGACAAAAGTAAAATTGCTACCATATGAATTGGAATTGACATTAGGGTTTTTGGGGACCCTTGATGTTCAAAATTGAGTTTTCGTTATGTGGATCAATTTCAATTGGGCCATGTTTTGTTTTAGTATTTAAATTAAAAATGAGTTCTCCAATCCCGTGACAATTAAATAGGCCAAGAAAATGTTGGGTTCATGTTTCTTGTAAATTTTTAAAAAATGAGGGCAAGTGGAGGGATTTATTTATTTATTTTTATTTAATTTAATATATTCCATGGGTTGGTCTGTTCATGGAAAAGATTTGATGTTGTTGCTTGCAAAAAGTCTACCCATTGGTGAAATTTTTGTCTCATGTTTTTGGTTGTATGAGCAGGCTTTTGTTGGTTGAGATTTCAACCCTTCACTTTGGTCATAAATTCATAATTGGTACTTACTATTTATTAAGTATAACAAAATTAAATATTAGAATATTCATAAATATGTTTAGAGATTTGAATTTGACTGAAAACCCTAAGATTTGACTTTAATTTGTAATTATTTGAAATGAAAATATTTGAATTTGATTGATAAGTTTTTAAATATTTTATTTTATTGAGAAGATTCCTTGAACATGAATCAAATTTATAGATGTAGAATATTAGTTGTTTAAGTGTGCATGAATCTAAAACACACTCTTACATGTATGATCTAGTAGCCTCATTGACCTTTCTAATTGTGTAGAAAGTAAGACGTTTTAGATTTAAATCTTCTCGACCGTAAGATTTTTCACCACTTCGGTGGGTAAATATGAAAGTTATTCCTATTATGTAATGTACAATGTTATGAGTAGAAGTTTTTAGATTTGAATTCTCTTGACTATAAAAGTTATTACTGATATATAATCTATAATATTATTATTTTTTTGTTAATTTAACTTTAATTAAAATTTGAATTGGAAATTTCGCAATCAAATTCTAAGTATAGGATTATAATTGATGAGAAACATTGTAAGATATCACCAAAAGAGGGCCTAGTAGTACTAAACACTAGAAGGAGTTGATAGCCACTAAATATTGGGACAAATAGAATAGTGGAGGACAAAGCATTACCAATTAAGAGGTTACAACAACCATTTGAGTTGCTTTAAGAGCAAAGGAAGGTCATGTGCTTCTGCTTGAGTTTGAGGAACCTCCTTTATATCTCATCTTATTGTAAGGTACTATGCATTATTATTTTTCTTTATTACACTTCACTTCATAATAAATATTTAAAGGGCTTCAAAGATACCATGTTCTGAATAAGTGTTTTCAAACCTATAAAGGATCAAAATTGACCCCAAATAGTCAATTGCTTACTAAAATAATTTAATACCTACTTCTATTTTAAAAATATTTATTAAAATTTTTTTTAAAGAAATCAAACTAGAAATTTCATTAAGAGGAAACTATGCAGATATGAGATACAAATCAATATATTTTTATATTCTTGTATAGGATGTTTAATAATAAACCACTTATAT